GGACATATACAAGAAAATACCCACCAAAAAAAAAATATTAAAAAAAGGAAGAAGATCACAAAAATAATTAAAAATATTGAATTTTGAAAATAGATTTGTGAGTCACTTTATGAATCTCTGTCACTGCTTTGTGTGTCATCAGAGGGGCAATATTTAGCTTCATATTGTTTGTTTACCATCAAGAAATGTATTATTTGCACTGTGAGCAGTAGTGCTGGTCACATTGGTGACAGATAAAAGAAAATGGATTTATTATTGAGTATTCCCATCTGATGAGCAGACTTTACTGGAACAATWTGGATCATATCCAACCCTTTAACTTGTCCTCACCTCCCAGTTTGTAAAAACAATCTGAACCAAAGGCTGAGTGTAGTCCCAGTACTGGGTTAATCCCTCCCATACTGTCCACACTGTCTGCAATAACCAGGTCAAACAGAAGAGGTCTTTGTGGCAGATGGGCAGAGCAGATGACTAGGAGCAGACAACAATAGCACAAAACATGCCAGCCTGTTGTGTGGCTTTGCTGTACAGTAGCAACTTCTTTTTTTCTTTTGGGTAAAAAAAAAAAAAAAAAAAAAAAAAAGCTGATAGCATCTGGTTTGACTAGACAGAATTCCAGGTTTTACAGTTATATCCACCCTGTCCTCAGCAGTTCCTGGTAATGCTGCCAAGCTTCATCGTAGCCCAATCAGTACTTAACACACAGTGAACTCACTATACCGGTTTAACCCTAAATACCTTAACTGTCAATCATTTTGACCCAAGTGTCAAAGTCAGTGWAATTTATCAGCTGTTACAGAAAACTACGGCACATCTCGTCATACGTGTGTCAAAAACGTTAGTAAAAGAGCTAGTGRTACAATACAGGTGTTGTTTCAATGACGATAAAAGAGCCGCACCGGGCTGCACGCTGCCTCAATCCCCGGTGTTGTAGCTGCTAGCATCATGTTAGCTCGCTAGAGAAGGGCTCGTGGAAAGAAGGCTTACCCAGAATGATGTGCTGCGCTGGTTCATTTCTCGAAAATAAGCTCGKCGATAACAAAGAAACCGGCAGACCAAGGAGTGTTCTAGCTCCTTCGGTCTCTTCTCTCCTGTGAGGAGTAGGCAGCACGGCTCTGACACGCAGTGAGGCAGAACCACAACTCGCCGTCTTGAATAACCCGTCACACAGCAAGTGCAGTTCCGCCGGTGGCCAGCAGAGGGCGGCGCTGCGCCACTCCCACTCCTCTCTCTCTCTCTCTCTCTCTCTCTCTCTCTCTCTCTCTCTCTCTCTCTCT